AAAAATAGAGAAGAACAGAAAAGCGTTGATCTAGACTTTTTCGACCAACTTGAAGGGGAAGCTTGACTTTAGCATCCAGTTTCTGGTCCAAAAAAGAGGAGTTATATGCCTTCCCACAAAAAAAAATAGAGAAAAGCATTATAGATTCACAAGATAATAAATAAAAACCTTAAACTCGTCAGGAATATCATCTTCGATCAGAAGATCTGATGGTGATGCTTGACCATGTTTGTCGAATGATGGCGGTGGGAAGGGTTCTGCGGGAGTAACATCCACATGGACCGGCGGAATAGATGGTGAATCGTCATGTTCATGTTTTGGCTCTGAAGGTGATGCTGGTCCAACTTTGTCGTCATCAGCTTTGGGTATTTCGATAAGGTGAGGATCTGCTCCGGGCTCAGTGATAGATCCAGGAATGTCGCTGGGGATTGGAGCCGGCATGGGAAGAGGTGGAGCACTTGGCACTGCAGGTTCATGTTTGTCATCATCCGCAGCTGGTTGTGAAGCTTCAGATTTGTCGTCACCTGCAGGTGATTCTGAAGGCTCTGGTCGTTCTGACGATCCGGATTTGTCTCCGGGAGCAGGCGGTTCTGTAGGTTCATGCTTGTCCTCAGGTACACTTGGCTTTAAGGGTTCAAAACTGTCAGTTGGCGCACCTGGTATTGTAGGCTCAGTAGCACCAGTAAGTGCGCTCAACCCTGCCGGATCTGGTGACGAGCTTGGGGCCGCTGGACCAGAAGGTGAGCTTGGAACCGCTGGACCAGAAGGTGAGCTCGGAGCGGCAGGACCAGAAGGTGAGCTCGGAGCGGCAGGACCAGCAGGTGAGGTTGGAAATGCGGGACCAGAGGTCTCTATTTGTGGGCTGGGTGGTGCAGGTTTAGATGCATCTTTATGATCTCCTTGAGGATCATGCTCTCCTGCAGGTTTAGGTGAATCTTTATGATCAGCATGAGAATCATGGTCTTCGTGGGCAGTAGGAGATGGAATTTCATGATGTTCATGTTCAGCAGGAGCCTTAGGATCTGGCGAAGGAACTGCACCAGCAGCGATTGGTGAAGGAAGATCGCTGACTTTGCTTGCCATCGTCACTTGGCAACACGTGCTACAACACAACACATTACTTCCATGTACAACAATCCACGTTAGACTGCGTTCACGCTTCGCGATCGCGCGATTGGATCGCGCGAACGGATCGCTCGATTGAACCGACGGCGCTCCACAAGCGGTGCGCCACCGTAACAGCAAAAGTCAAACTGGGTCGCATTCTTACCGCGCCAATTTGAATTGTGCCTTATGGCTGCGCACTGTTTGGCGGTGGATCGTCGTGATGGCGCGATCCAATCGCGCGAACGCGAAGTCTGAACGCGGCCTCATGGAAAGGAAACTTTTGTAACATAGGCATGCACACACGGTTTTTAGAAAACACACTAATACAACATAGAAGTAGTAAGAAGCCACGTGTGCTGTTTCACTTGATTTATGCTCGGATTGCTTCGGATACCTGCTCAATAGGTGGTTTATCGCCATCAGGGTTTCGTACAAATGCAGGAGACAGAGGACCATCTATAGACGAACGTCCGGATGGCGATCGTGGTTCAGGCGTCGGTGGAATGACAACGAGTTCCACAGTAGGGCGAAGATCCGATGAGGCTGGATCTTGAGGGGCATCAACGCATATGTCTGGCACTACGTCGTCAAGTATGACCACGGAATCGTCCAACTAAAAAATACACGCAACAACATTCAACTAAGCCATTACAAAAGCAAAAAGCCCTTACAAAAACAAAAAAAGCAGTCACTCTATTTGGGGGGATAACTGAAAGCGGACAAATGCCAAACACACCAAAGCATTCAGGGTTTATAGTCACTACACACCGCAAAAAAATAATACTGACACTGGATTAATAGCGGAAAATGCACGGCTAACATTGTTAGGGGAGCTATGTTTGTTTTCACTAGACAATTCGATTAAGTAGCAGATAAGCAACTACAGGCACAAATCTAACTAATAAAAAACCCACCTGAGGCATTGGTTCGACAGGAGTTGGTGCGGGCTCTTTCACCTCCTCTTCCGCAGGCACAGGTGCAGGAGCTGCGGGAGCTGGAGGAGCAGAGCGGTTAGTTTTCGAGGGGACACCTTTGGGCGGTACCGTACCAGATGTCTTACCGACAACAGATGCTGCCGCTTTTCCGATGGCGGCAGTCGCACGAGACATTGCGGCCCCCTTCACTGGATTTCTGAAGCAAATCTTCGTACCAACATATTTTAAACTGATTTTGCAACTGGTTAACCCACACTATGGTCTTTTGTATAGGGGCTTCGTGTGCTACCGTCTTCTTATTGTTTGTAGATGATGCAGATTTGTTTGCAGGTGCGGCATGCTTGGCCGTTGTCGATGAAGCAGCTGGTCGAGCACGATTAGCTGGAGCTGTGGTCGCGGGAGGACGAGCCGGTGATGGCTTGACACTCGATGGTGCTGCAATAAGAGAAAATTGAATATACCAAGACAGATTGGGTCAATTTATACCGAAATGGACTGTAGCTTAGAAGATTCGAGACGCGGCATCTTGTGCAGAACAGACGGTAAGGCAATCGTGACTTGCAACTCCGTCGCGCGCGGCGATGCGTGTGGCGCTTTTTTTCGTTACGCGGCACGCCTTCGGGGACATCGATGCAAGTTACTATTGTCTTGCCCTTCTTCCCACTTGAACTATCCCCTCCCCCCTTCAACCACATTGGCAGTAAGGAAAAGATCCTACTAAAAAAATGAGAATAGTAGCTGAGTGCGCTGAGTCGCAACGTCAGTACTTTGCAGTAATAACCCCTCTTGAAAAGCCATAGATTCAAAAAAGACAAGAAATGAAAAAGAAATCCAGGGAACGTGACGCATAATGTGGCAATAAAATTTATGAACCAGATACCACGGGAAACTTACCAGATTTGTTCGCAGATGAGAGACCAGTTCTTGACGGTGGTGCATGAGCAGGTGGTGCATGAGCTGGCACAACTGGTCGTTTTGCAGGAGCGGGCTGAAAAAACGCTTTTGAACTGACCACATAAATCTAAAAATAGTTTCTGCATAGTCCCTAGTGAGAAACAGACCTGCTTAGGAGCCGTGGAATTAGATTTCGCTGTTGCTGACGGTACCCGAGCTGGGACTGCTCCTCTGGAATTTGCATTCTTTGGCACTGCCGGGGGCGGTACCTCCTTGTAGGCATTAGCTGCTGATACAACAGGACTGTGCAGGAATGGAAGTGATTTTGCTTTCTCCAGAGCATGAATGATTCGGGCCAGAGGTGCAGTGCCTGGAAGAATGACAAAATGGGAGCAATTCACGAACGACTTTTCATTAATTGACACATTGACACCAACCTTATTTTTAGAGCAAGAATGACCATTCAGCTAGCTGGAGCTTTAGTCAGAGAAATTGCAAAAAAAAATTGATATGGGGCTCAAGGAGGTGCAAAACACGAGGCACATAAACAACCTCAGCCCTTGATAAAAAAAAGAGTATAGGAAAGAAGTACAAAGAAGTACACACGGTGGTACATTCTCACTGAACGCTGTAGGACGCTGGCCGAGCGACTAATATACTCAAACTCATGAAAGAGATTCTACTTGCGCCCAAAGTAACAAAAAACAACCCCAAAAGGATCACTTATTTTGACCTACAGAGGGGGCGGCTGCATGGCTTGGAAATAGGAAATCTCAATTAGTGGTTGGCACCTGTTCCCAAAGATGAGGAAACCAATGGTGTTATTTTTGTTATGCGTGAGTACGGGTCAGGAGATACTATTGCGATACGTACAAACTTGCTAGTTTTTCCTAGATAGTTGATTCAGCTGATTCAACATACCACGGTGAGGTCCACACAAAGGAGTGCGATCGATTCGACCAATCAACAGTGTAGTATGTTAAATCGGCGTGGAAACCAGGACACATCGTTGTTGGGGAATCCCACCGGGGTGAGGGGGGGGGGGAGGAATTCGGTCGCTGAGAGAGGGGAGTCGTATTAGGGCCAAGAAAGATTTATTTTGATAGTTGACGTTTCTTATTTCAATGACGCTGTAAAGGGGGGGCGTATATGTTCGTCGGAAGGGGGTCCTATTTCCCTTCTGATCTTCTGAGGGAGGTTGCTGACACTTCGTGGTCTTTATTGTTTCATGTGTGCTATATATACTCCCATCCCCCGCCGGTTTCCTGCTCGTTGAGAAGGGAACCAGGAGGCGTGCCAACCACCTAAAATAAGGG